TAAAAATTTGATAAAAATTCACATCCAATGTGTTATATATGTCGTATCATATATAATAATATATTGATTACGCAAGGGAGAGAATTAAATAGAATTTTAAGTAAAGAACAGAGGAAAAAATAAAGTATATATATATATATACAGCATTTATTTTTCAGACTTTTGAAAAAGGTGAGCGCGGAGAGTTTCACACGCGGCATAGGAGAAGGAAAAGTTTCAAGCGGAAATTGTTCGTTGTGAAACCACGATGTTAAAAATTGGAATCACTCTTTTTTTCTCGCTCGTTGAGAACTCGTCATAGGATAAATCGGGAAAGCTGCAATCAAAAGGGCACTCGATGCTCCCGGGACACCTCATACGAAGGACATGGTGTCATGCGAGTAATCAAGTTTTTTCAAACAAAAAGAGAAAGAGGAATAGAGGGACGAAGAAAGAAAGAAAGGGAGAAAGAGAGGAAGAGAAAAGAAAACGACATAATAATTCATGATGATTCTCAAGAGAATGACACGCACGGATTAACACGTTTTCAACATGTCATGAAATTCATAAATTTAGTGATGGGCGATGTCTAAATCGATTTTTTGCAAAAATAGTAATTAGAAATCGCTTCTTTTATTGAAAGAGAAAGGATCTCTTACAAAAAGATTGTGTCTTTTTCAATAAAAGTAACATTAGTATTTTGTTCTTTCTTTGACAAAAGAGAGAAAAACCTCTCTTTTACAGTATCGATGTAAATGGCTTTTTCTTCTTCTTCTTCGTTTTCCCTAATAAATTTTCGATCCACAAAGACAAAGGTAGTACCATGAATTTTCAAAGATCAGAAGATCCAGTGCAAGCTTCTGCGAGGCAATTAGAGGCTTCATTTCTTCATATTATTTTGATATTATAATAATAAAGTCTTACGATCAAAACAGTAGCTTAGTATACAAAATCCGAGCTCGAGGTGTTCAGCACAGATCAACGCCAGATCCAATTGAACGTCCTAAAAAATAAATGTCCTCAGACGAAAGACTGACTTCAAAACTAATACAGTTCAAATAATCAAATTACGTTCTTTAACAAAAACAATCAGACATTTCATCACTTTGAAGTTACTCCTAGCAACTAAACTAGTTAGTACCAGAAAAAGGAGAAAAGCAATTTAAATTAATCAAAGAAATAATCAATTTAAAGTGACGAACCAAAACAGAGAGATCAACGAGATATCGAGATGGTATTACCGGGGTAACGAAAGCGAGGTGGTGAGAGAGTGCGCGGGAAGGGTGGGTTTTCGTTACCACCGCCACCACCGTCCACCAACGGCACCAGCACGGTATAAAGTGGTCGCGTGCTCCAAGCGCGGTCACTCTGTCGCGGAGACATCGAAGAGACGTTATCCGAAGAGAAAAAAAGAGAAGGAAAGAGATCTTTACTCAAAGTGCCATTCTTCTGGAACGAGGGTCGGAGACCAAGCGATACACCAGCCTGCTGGCCCACAAGGTATAAACTTCCGTTTCCGAATTTCTGTGTGATTTTCTAGCCCTTTCTGTCCCGCTAAAGGTCTCTTCGCGGAAGAAGATAATTGCATCGATTATATGGATATAAATCTCTATATATTGACGTAAATTAAATTTAAAAAATATAGGAAAAATTAAAAAGTTATGAAAAAAAAGTTTATAAAAATAAATTTACAAACAAATATTATTCTATTGATTTATTGCTAAGAAAAGATTACTTAATTGATTTTTTTCTTCTTAAGTGTAACAATTTAATAAAGAATTTGTTTTTTAATCATTTTTATGATAATATATTAAAATATATTTATTTTATAAATTTTAGAAAAACTTTATTTATGTACTCAAAATAAGAACTTTTTTTTTTCAAAAAATTGAAGGAGCGACTTTATATAATAAGCAAAGCAAATTAATTTTAATTTAATAATCTTGATTGAAGCATTAAACTTATTAGGATTAAAAATAAATTTTAAATAAATTTGATGAACTTATGATTTGCGGATATATGAATTCTTATGTACAGTCCATACTTTTCTGTGTGTAGAAATCGTAAGATGCAGATGCTCACGCGTGGTGGTCAATAAAACGAGACTTTCGTGATTGGACCTTGAATCGAAAAAAAAGTTTTGCTCGGAAAAAAAAGTTTGCTAAAGTACTTAAAAATTCAATCAAATACAGATTTAAAAATAACCTTATAATAAACTTCAAAATAATTATGTAAGACATTTGGGCATGATAAGTGTAAGAAGTTTTGACATTTTAATAATCAGCTTGAACGTCCTATCATTGAAAAAAGAATTATGATATTATCTACTAAATGTTGAATGAAGTAAATAGTATTGAATAAATGAAATTTTAATTAAATGTTCAATTAATTAGATTCCGAAACTTTTGCTAAAACTGAACATTCGGCTACATGTTAATTTCAATCGAAACCGAAACCAAGATTAAAAAATAAGAATTCTATAAAGGCTGTATGTATAGGCATGTCCATACGATAATTTTTCTTCATAAATATCATAATTTATTGAAACAATAATTAAATTTCGGTCAAAATCGAAAACCGAAATTTCAGTTGTATGTCAAAGAATATAAGTACTTCTTCATCATAAACATCATAATTTAATGTGTAATTATTATTGAAATAATAATTACACATTAAAATTAATATTTATTAAAAAGAGCTATATGGTTTTAGTCGAAACTGACACATAATGAGTGTTCGTCTTCAGTTTCAATAAAAATTTCGATCGGACTCTACGATTAATACATCCAGAAATAATTTTATTCTTTCAAATATATATATTTAGTGATTATTATCAAATATAATAATGTATATAACCAATCTTTTGGTAACAATTGCTGAATATTTAGAAAAAATTTAGAAAAATGAAAATTTAGGAAGTAAGACTTAAATTCGCGTGCTCATATAATCTTTGTTATATAATATATAACAATAATATATAACAATAATATTAAATACATGTAATGCGGGTTTTTGACAATTATTTTTATTTTTAATTTTTACATTATAAATTGTACACTAAGGATAACTCAATGTAAAGGGTCGAAACGTACTTTTATACTTAATAATTTTTATTTGGCATATTAAATAATATTATAAGCAATAATAACTAGTTTGGTTCACTAGTCCTTTATTACCTAGAATTAGATTAAAAAATAAGAATATTTTTGAT